ACAGCGTGATTTTTCACCAACAGCAGTTCGCAGGATGCGGACGTCAATAAAGGCCATGTGGTCACTTCCGGTGCTCGTTTCATCAGAGAGAAAACTGGACCGAATCGAATAGTTTTTGTAGGTTTATGCGATTCTGGTCGTCGTCGTCGCCGTCGCGACTGCTGCAGCGAGCCGGCAACGTCACGAAGGTTTCGCGGTGTTCGGACTGTATGTTTGCGCTCTCGCAAAAGGCGTAAGATGACCTCGTAAACGTAAGGTGATGAGTCGTTACAAATGATTACACTTCTCGTAATCGAACGAAGAGTTCAAGGATTTTGGTCATGCTGATCAAAGCGCACAATCTTCACGCCGAGGGATCCGAGGGATCGGAACGCTTTCTAAAATTGTATGGGTTCCTGCAATGGGCAATTAATTCCTACTCTCCTTGGCCTTGCAAACTTCAGGAAAAGATACTTCAGAGAACATATCTACAGTCGTTATCCGGGCAATTGATTAGGCGGTCAACGGGTCGCAGACGTGGCTGCGGCGCGTCACAACGCGGCTGCGGCGCGTCACGACCGCGGCGATCAGCTGTTTCCAGCCTATTTGGCCATTTTCTCCCTAATTTTCACTGTATTACTTATTTTTTAAGGTAAGTTGTTTTTGTCTTTGTGAAGTGTATTATTATCTTTATCCTTTTATGAAGTATATTGGGACGTGAATTCTTTTTTTGTTTTCGTAATGAAGTGTTTTTGCGATTTTTTTAGGTATTTGTTTAATTGTTCGTTAATTATTTAATTGCTAGTAAAAATTAGAGAAATCTCAATCATAATTTACCTTGTGAAGACAAGGAACAACTAACCTCAAGGCTTTGAAGAGTTACACAGAGGCTTCAAAAAGAACTGCAATGTACTTGAATGTTATCTGATTCATGCAGCGTTGGGGATTCGTTGGGGATTATTTGGGAATTGGATGAGAGTTTTTCTGCTTTAAACGGTAATTCTCTGAAAACGCAGCTCTTAGCAATGACAAAAGCAGCTTTGGAAGGAAGATTCCCTTTTCTAGTGAGTGCTTATCTTTCTTGTTGAAATTTGCAGGGTACAGAGTTAAATTCGTTGGGAATTTGTTGGGGAAGATTTCGAGCTGCCCAATTTCCCTGTACCATATCAAGTAGGCGTATTTGAATACAATGCATCTGGAACGGATCCCTATGCAGGCCGTGATGGTTTAGCGACCAATAGCCTGATCCCTGGATGCGCCATGCATGAGGCATCCACGCAGAGGTAGCGGGACATTGAAACTTCTACGGATTGTCTGCCCACGCACGCAGATGTGTTCATAGGGTTCAAAAACGTCCATGGTCTAGCTGTGGACTTGTTTTAAAGGAGCTGAATAAGTCCCTAAGACCAGTAAAGATTGATACGCTGGCAAGACGGAATTCCAGGACCCTGAGCAGGCGCTGCGTAGAGCCTTTTCCAAGGAAGTAGGGAGGTGAGTGTACAGTTTGTTCTGAGTGCGCTGCTTGGTTTTAGTTGCTTTTTTCAGAGCGCAGTCCAAAAAACAGTCTTCCAGCTGCGATAAAGATTTCGTTGCGGTGTACTCCGGTAGGGTAGACCATATGCCTATGTCTGTACGACTGTCACTCAAAATCTCCATGGCAGGACCAAGTCTGTTGTCTATGGCTGTCAAATACTATTGTTTGCCTGTTGTGAATTTTATTCCCTACCTCTTGACAAATTTCTTTATGCGGCCAGGGTACAGCATCCTTGTGTGAAACCATGGGGGGGTCGTACTTTTGCTCTGGGGAGGGGGGTCGTATTTGTAAGACAAATTTATTTTGATAGTTGATTTTTTCTTGTGGAAAAGGGGGGTCGTATTAATTTTTTGTTTTATATGCACTATATGCATTCTGTACGCCCGTGGGATATACGTTGCATAGTTATTATATACCCCCGCTCGACAACTTACGCCAGACTATATACACTCCTCATCATTACGGACTGTCGGGGCGTATCGGCCAGAAGGAGTGCGCACACTGTTTGAAGCCGTTCTCAGCCTTTTCGTTGAAACGCGTATGCGACAAAAAGTGGTAGAAAACGAGTAATACGAAGGATATAATGCTGTTATGTCATTTGATCGCTTCAACAACTGGTGCAGAAAGACTTTGGAACCGCGGAAAACGCAGCCGCACTGACCCGCCCCGACAGTCCGTAATGAAGAGAGAGCCGTGGAGGGGGGAGGATCGCCGACATCCGCACATCCCCATGCTGTACCCTGTATGCGGCACCTCACCTATACACCACCTTCAGACAGGATCCCTTAGCGTTTCTCACGCTCGAGAGTCCTTCGACCGCTAGGAACTGGGTAGAAGGGGATGCAGACGTGTTTTCCTTCACAATCTCCAAGTTACAAGGGTTAGTTAAGCAGCATCAGAAACGGTGTAAATTTCTCAAGAAAAGCCCATGTAAATGGGTCGACACGTTGATGGGAAGCCAATGCCCTCCCGCCTTCGCCAACTGCACCTTAAGTTCGTTCTCTAACACAGAGTTGACCCCTTATCTAAAACCCCTCGTAATGAACTGAACCCTCCTCCCTCCCCTTTCGGAACGGGGAGATAGCAGGATGTTAGTTGAGGGATTTCAACCCCATTGGTGATGCATGTGCAAAAAGAAGTTTGTAGCCTCCGCGCGAAGTCCGTCTACGGATCTTAGGTAGTAATTGGTAAAACAGTTTTTGGCTCTGCGCCAACAGATATCAAAACTGTTTCTCCAAGGACAACGACGGAGTTTCCGTTTAATAAGCGAATTCTTCGGTTAATACGTCACAGATTCCACATGCGATTGAGAGAAATCAACGGGTAACGCCCAATGTGGTTTTTTCACTTGCTAAACATTACTTATCAGTTCTATCGAGTGAATCGGCGAGTTCTTCGTAGACCCTGAACCGCAAGCGTGGTAGGCGTTGCCAGTAAAAGCATCGAAAGGTGCAAAACATGTTGCGAGGTAGGTATAAGATTTCCCATGGGGAGGGAATCCCGTGGTGGGTGAAGCCGATCATCATGCATAAAAAGTGTGAATGTGTTAGGTGACAGCGGTTTTAAAACGCAGTGCATACGATAGAATGCAAAGAAAAACAGAAAATAGACACGATTGGAGGTTTTAGGTTCAAGATGTCTTTCGCAGCTTGGTGCGCATGAACTGACGCGACCGTACGGCGTGGCAGCTCGCGAATGACCAGCCAGCGCGCAATTCCACCGCGCGCGAGGTGAACACTTCGCGCACGGCAGAATTGCGCGACGAGACGCCTTTCGTTGCCACGTACAGCGAATCCATGTAACAATGGGTATTCTTCGACATTGCAGGACGACTAGTCAGGAAGGGAATTCGCCTCAATGGGGAGCCTCTTCAGTTGGCCTAATTTTTCTAGGGGCAGTGAATCATTCCAGCTCAGTGAGACGGCTATACAGTTCTTATTTTTTCAACACTGCCCTTTTACGGCCTACCTTCCCGGAGAGCGCTTCATCTGGAATGTCCGATGACCACAACTTACAACTAGCCCGTGGCGATCGTTCGCCAACCAGCATTCATACTTGGCGACATCAGCGATGTAATCCCGCAGCGGTGTCGCAACTATGAACGCTGCCTCTATGAGCAACTGTCAGGAAAGCGAGCAACAGTGTATGCGACGTAAAGTTAGTGGCTCTTGTGTACAGTGCAGTGCACACAGAGCATTTTACGTCATACTATTGCAATTTTCCATATGTTGTTCTTCGCAGATTATTTGCTTTTCCTCCACGTTTCGCTACAATTAAGTTCTGTTGTAACATTTATCGTATTTTGGGTCCGCATGCTTTACATTTGTACGCTTTTGGAGATGGTCCTTCTCGCACATTGCCATCTCAGTGTGCCACAATTGCCATCTCTGTTGTGTGCTGTTTCGCTGATCGTTGGGCACAATTTCACTCTTTCCAGATTTACTTTGCTTGCTTGACACTATCCATGACTCTGAAACCTGTGTGTGATTAGAACGCATAAACCATTCAAATTGACTTGAACTTCTGACGGTGTCAAGTTACGCACATTAGAAGAAACTTCAAAGACTGAAACAGAGCTTCGCAATTGTCAGGTACGTTCATACTTTACGAATTCGTAGGCTTGGATCGCCCCGATCGGTCGCGAGTATGGATGCCGCGCCTCAGTGAAATTTGCCGTTGAAGCGAGCTCCACCGCCGTACGCCCAGAAACACTATTTCGATACCTATACTTTCACCTATACTTCCTGTTCGCTCAAAACGCTCGCGCGAACTTTGAACGCATATTCAGAATGCACAACCATATTGGAATAGCGGCCCATTTCGTTCAACCTAACTTGCACTTATGGATATTTTTAATCCTCTCTGCACCACAGAAATGAACATCTTTCTGGGAATCCCAACTAGGGGGGGGAGGGTCCGTATTTGGCCCGCCATAAGAGTGGTATGTTAATTTGACTGAGAGTCATGTTGATAGTTGATGTTCTCGCTCATAGACTATGTAAGGAGCGGGGGTCGATTGGTCTTGTTGGGAGGGATGTCGTATTTAGTATTTGACTTTTTAGAGTAGTGGTTGACTTTTCGTGGTTTTCTGTTTCATGTGAACTATTACACCGTCTCGACAGCAAAATTTTGGCGAGTGGGGAAATTATGCGAAAAAGTGGCAAAATTAAGGAAAATCTGAAAATGTAGAAGCGGTTAGCGGGAAGCGGGGTCGTGTTGTCTCCATTGTTTCGGCTTTTCCTGTTTCACATGTGCTATTTACCCCACCCCACCCCGCTCGACGGCTCGATTCGATGAGGAGGGACAGAGGGCCGGAGGGGGGGGGGTCGTACGGACTCGACCAAAATCCCCAACCAATGATGTGCCCTGGTTCCACATTGATTGATATTTAAGCTTAGTCACAAGAAAGTCTCTAAACTGTACCACACAACCTTCCTGACAGCACTGTAGAGTGCATTAGTAAGCTTTCACTGATTGATGAGGCTATATGTTTGCTTATGACAATATAACCCTAGATCTCGCTGCTGAACCGTACAATATGACGTCATCTGGATTTGGTCGCAAAATGGTTATAGCTGAGATTGGAGGACCTGGAAATCTTTTCCCAACTATTCATAAAGAGAAAGAATTTGATTTGAAGGTATGCGAGAACAGCTCTTCTTGATAGTCCGTTGGTCGGAGAATCCATTTCTGTCCTTCAAAATAGAATCATCCATCGTCTAGGAAATTTGTGAGAGTTGCGAAGCCCCATCGTCGTTTGTATTCGGACCTGGAGCAGGGCCTTGGAAAGTGGTTGGGAGAAACTGTGAGATGGTGGCTGACGCGAATTTCACGTCATCAAAGGTAGGTTTAGTGATTTTTCTTGTTCTCGAATCTTTCATAGATACTTCAAATGTTTTGTTGATGCAGCTTTTTGTTGAACTTGAGAAAAAATTATTCTGCTTGCTTCTGGCTCGTCGTCGAGAGTAACCGTTTGCTCCTGCCAGGATTTCCGATGACAGTGGCCCTTGTGCTAGGGTAAAATTACATAGACTACTATTCCATAAATGTTTCCCCTTGTGCAAGTTCGGGAGCAAAGCAAGTGGGCGGGGGCAGGGAATGCGGCCATGTCACGACCTTTTTTGCACGTCTGCACTCCTGTCAGCGTCAACCGAACTCAGCGAGAACAGTCTCGGTGATAGTCAGGGCACTCCTGTCGCTGGGGGGGATTTTTACTAATTACGACCACCGAACTCCTTTCAAATTCACTCCTCTTGTACGACCCTTTCCCCCTCTCCCCTTCCGTCACCTACCTACCATCTCGCTGACTTTTACCTACTTCCTACCTTTCTAGGACCCATCCCGAAATACGGCTCCCTCACTGGTGGTTGCCAACGGCGACGAGCCCTTTGATT